ATACAGTGTCCGAGAGCGATTACGCGCACGCCGAGAACGTGTGGCAGCGGTTCTCCGTGCGAACGCTCGGAGAGTACAGTGATCTCTACTTAAAAACTGACGTCCTGTTGTTGGCCGATGTGTTTGAGAACTTTCGCGACAGTTGCGTCGCGAGTTACGGTCTCGATCCCGCGCATTATTATACCCTGCCCGGTTTCACGTGGGACGCGATGCTTAAACACACGCGCGTGAAGTTTGAGTTGCTCACAGACATAGATATGGTGATGTTCGTCGAGCGCGGCATACGCGGCGACCTCAGTCAGTGTTCCGGCAGATACGCGCGGGCCAATAACAGGTACATGCAGGCGTACGACCCGTCGGAACCGTCGTCGTACCTTATGTATTACGACGTCAACAACCTGTACGGCTGGGCGATGTGCCAACCGTTGCCCTACGCCGACTTTGCATGGGTCGACGACGCGCACAATTTCGACTATACTACCGTCGCGTTGGATTCGCCCACCGGGTACATCCTCGAGGTGGATCTCGAGTATCCGCGGCGTCTCCACGACGCGCACGCCGACCTGCCGTTCTGCCCGACGCGCGCGAAGCCGCCCGGCAAGCGGGACGACAAGCTTCTCGCGACGGTACGCGACAAACAACGTTACGTCGTCCACTACCGCAACCTGCAACAGTGCACGCGTCACGGTCTTCGCGTAACAAAGATCCATCGAGTGTTGCGATTCGCGCAATCGGCCTGGCTCCGCGACTACATCGAACTCAACACGCAGTTTCGAACGCGCGCGAGGAACGATTTCGAGAAAAACCTGTACAAACTTATGAACAACGCGGTGTTCGGCAAGACGATGGAGAACGTGCGCGAACGCGAAACTAGTGACGACGTGGGAAGGACGGTATGGCGCGGAGGCGTTGATCGCGAAACCGAATTTCCACAGCTGCAGCGTCTTCGCGGAGAACCTGATAGCGGTCGAATTGCGAAAACTAGAGGTGAAATTCGACAAGCCGATCTACGTGGGTATGTGCATCCTGGACATTTCGAAAACGTGCCTGTACGAGTTTCACCACGAGTATATGACGCCGCTGTTTCGCGATAGATGCAAGATCGTGTGCACTGACACAGACAGTCTGATCTACCATATAGAGTGCGACGACGTGTACGAAACCATGAAACGCGACATCGACAGATTCGACACGAGCGACTATCCCGCGAACAACGCGTACGGTATGCCTCTCGCGAACAAGAAGGTGCCCGGTCTCATGAAGGACGAGAACAACGGCGCCATCATGACCGAGTTCGTCGGACTCAGAGCGAAGATGTACGCGCTGCGCGTCGACGGACAGAGGGACACGAAGAAGGCGAAGGGGGTGAAGAGCAGCGTCGTAGCGCGGACGACATCGTTCGAGGATTACACCCAGTGCCTGAAGGAGGACATCGAAATAACGCGCAGGCAGGCGTGCATACGATCCAAGTTACACCGGGTGTACACGGTGTCTGAGAAGAAGATCGCTCTGAGTCCGTACGACGACAAACGGTACGTTGTACCGGACTCGACGAACATACTACCGTGGGGGCATTACCGGATAGTGTAGCTCGTGTGTTAGTTTACCTGTACTTAGACTTTTACGTATTTTATACTTTTACTTTTATATTGCGTTTTCTCGTACCTATACTCATACCTATATTCGTACTTAGACTTAGTGAGTTTATACTTGTACTTGTACTCATACCCATACTTATACTTAGACTTTCATGTATCGAGTTTTACGTATTGAGTTTTATGTATCTTTTACTTTTATATTGCGTTTTCTCGTACCTATACTTGTATGTATTGAGTTTTACGTATTAAGTTTTTATATATTAAGTTTATACTGAGTTTATTTTTATACTCGTACCTATACTTATATGTATTGAGTTTTACGTATTAAGTTTTTATGTATTGAGTTTTATATTGAGTTTATACTGAGTTTATACTGAGTTTATACTTTTACGTGTACCTATACTCGTACCTATACCTATACCTATACTTGTATGTATTGAGTTTTATATTGAGTTTATACTGAGTTTATACTTATACTTGTACTTATACTCGTACCTATACCTATACCTATACTTGTACCTAGACGTATTGAGTTTATATTGCGTTTTACTTATACTTGTACCTATACTCGTACCTATACCTATACCTATACCTATACTTGTACCTAGACGTATTGAGTTCATATTGCGTTTTACTTATGCTTGTACCTGTATGTATTGAGTTTTACGTATTGAGTTTTATGTATCTTTTACTTTTATATTGCGTTTTCTCGTACCTATACTTGTATGTATTGAGTTTTACGTATTTACGTATTGAGTTTTATACTGAGTTTTATGTATTGAGTGTTATGTATTGAGGTTGACTGACTCTTACTTATACATGTATGTATTGAGTTTTATACTGAGTTTGTACGTACGCATGTATGTATCCTGTAACGTTACAGAGAGTTTATCGTTAACGTGTACCTTATTGAAAGGAATAAAGAACGACAACGATATCGTGATACAGTGGTATATTTATTTTTGATATATACATATATTGATATATATTTTATACGAATAAAAAAAAAATGAATTCACACGACATCTCGTTTATTTATCCACGAATTGTGCGATCCGTCGAATCCCAGCCACTTGACGTACACCCTGTCTCCCTTCTTACGCAACACCTTTTCAACCAGATAGACGTCGGGATTAGCGACGCGAAGCAACTCGTGCTCGTAGAATCCTCTGGCGACCGGTTCGCCGCGGTAATCCTCCAAGAGATACGTCACGGGATTGGTCCTCTGCACTCTAACGATTCGAAACACCTCCGTGGTCCAATTCGGCGTGTAACCCTTCTCGAAGATCGTCTTGTACTTGCTCACGCGTACCGCGTCGCCCACTTTGAACTTCGCGGGACCGGCGATCTTTATCGCGCCGTATACCGTGCCCAGGAGTCTCTCGGCGACAGCGGGGGTCACGTCGGTGGGCCGCATGCCGATGGTGCGATGCTTGCGCGCGTTGTAATCCGACACGAAACGCGGCAGCGCGTCGACCCACTTGTACGTGCCGTTGAGCGTAAACATCTTCCACATGTCGTTCTTCAACGTACGATTGACCCGCTCGACCACCGACGCCTTCAGCGTCGAGTACGTGGAGTAGTGATTGATGTTGTGCTTCTTCAAAAGTTTCCGCACCGCGGCGTCGTAAAACTCCTTCCCCATATCCGTTTGCAGGTTCTTCGGGCATCTCCCGCTCTCGCGAATTATCCCCGCGATAGCGTCGGCCGTCTCGCTACCGCCCTTGCTCCTGAGCGGCACAGCCCACGCGTACTTTCTCAGCACGTCGATGACGGTGAGTACGTAGTGACGGCCTCTGTTGTGACTCGAGTACGGACGCATCTCGACGATGTCGGCCTGCCACAGATCGTCGTATCCCCGTACCACGACGCGTCTTCGCGGAAAATTTCTTCTCGCCGGAGCATGCAACTCCTCGACGAGTCTGCGCCTCTCGGAGCTGACGTTCATGTCGTGGAAATAAATGATATTCGGTGGCGCGAGATCGACTAAATCGCTTCGTCGATTATCAATTATTTCCCCCTTCGCCTTCTTCGTGTCCCTCTGTCCGTCGACGCGCAGCGCGTACATCTTCGCTCTGAGTCCGACGAACTCGGTCATGATGGCGCCGTTGTTCTCGTCCTTCATGAGACCGGGCACCTTCTTGTTCGCGAGAGGCATACCGTACGCGTTGTTCGCGGGATAGTCGCTCGTGTCGAATCTGTCGATGTCGCGTTTCATGGTTTCGTACACGTCGTCGCACTCTATATGGTAGATCAGACTGTCTGTGTCAGTGCACACGATCTTGCATCTATCGCGAAACAGCGGCGTCATATACTCGTGGTGAAACTCGTACAGGCACGTTTTCGAAATGTCCAGGATGCACATACCCACGTAGATCGGCTTGTCGAATTTCACCTCTAGTTTTCGCAATTCGACCGCTATCAGGTTCTCCGCGAAGACGCTGCAGCTGTGGAAATTCGGTTTCGCGATCAACGCCTCCGCGCCATACCGTCCTTCCCACGTCGTCACTAGTTTCGCGTTCGCGCACGTTCTCCATCGTCTTGCCGAACACCGCGTTGTTCATAAGTTTGTACAGGTTTTTCTCGAAATCGTTCCTCGCGCGCGTTCGAAACAGCGTGTTGAGTTCGATGTAGTCGCGGAGCCAGGCCGATTGCGCGAATCGCAACACTCGATGGATCTTTGTTACGCGAAGACCGTGACGCGTGCACTGTTGCAGGTTGCGGTAGTGGACGACGTAACGTTGTTTGTCGCGTACCGTCGCGAGAAGCTTGTCGTCCCGCTTGCCGGGCGGCTTCGCGCGCGTCGGGCAGAACGGCAGGTCGGCGTGCGCGTCGTGGAGACGCCGCGGATACTCGAGATCCACCTCGAGGATGTACCCGGTGGGCGAATCCAACGCGACGGTAGTATAGTCGAAATTGTGCGCGTCGTCGACCCATGCAAAGTCGGCGTAGGGCAACGGTTGGCACATCGCCCAGCCGTACAGGTTGTTGACGTCGTAATACATAAGGTACGACGACGGTTCCGACGGGTCGTACGCCTGCATGTACCTGTTATTGGCCCGCGCGTATCTGCCGGAACACTGACTGAGGTCGCCGCGTATACCGCGCTCGACGAACATCACCATATCTATGTCTGTGAGCAACTCAAACTTCACGCGCGTGTGTTTAAGCATCGCGTCCCACGTGAAACCGGGCAGGGTATAATAATGCGCGGGATCGAGACCGTAACTCGCGACGCAACTGTCGCGAAAGTTCTCAAACACATCGGCCAACAACAGGACGTCAGTTTTTAAGTAGAGATCACTGTACTCTCCGAGCGTTCGCACGGAGAACCGCTGCCACACGTTCTCGGCGTGCGCGTAATCGCTCTCGGACACTGTATGGCCCGT